TAATGATTTGCCAGGTTGGCGTCAGATCAACGATGTATCTATGTGTAAAGTTTTGGTTTGAGATGTCTGCCAAGCAGATACACAACAATGGAAACAAATTGCTAATCGTACAAATTGTTTTATGCTAAAATGATTGTTTCTCTTCAATAACAAGGTATTTTATTTAGTGTCGAAGCGAAATAAAAAATCGGAACTCTCCAGATGTTTTATTATGCGCAGAGGGGGGAATTAAATGCGCATGCATAAAACCTACGAGAAAACGTTGTTGGTGTTTTTCAGATCCGGATTTTAGATCATTCCGGATAATGGACGTTCGTATTTCGGACTTTGTACTGTAATAATTTTCTTACTGATTTGCAATAATAATAATATATGGATGGCAGATAATGGCAAGTTGAGAAGGCCCAGTAAATCAGGAATTGACTGTTTATTTATATACAACAGCCTTAAGGTTCTAGCTAATCTGCACCACTCCTGTTTATTCAGTGTTCATGTCTCAGATTAAATCTTTCAAAGAGAAATAGCAGTTCAATGTAACACAAAGTGAGGTATAAGAATATACAGTACACTCCCGATTATCCGCGGAATTGGGTGGTGCGGCCGCCGCGGATAACAAAAAATGCGAATAATCCGAAAAAAGCTGAAAATGGGTATAGCAAATAAGAAAACAGTCATTCAAACTTTGAAAAATCGTTTTATGTACAATAAAACATAAAATAAACAGCAGGAAATGTTTAACTAACGCTCAATATTTTAGCTTATTACGCTTAATATATTCTCTCCGTAAAGTCCAATTTCTCGAATTCCATGTCGCTGCTATAAATGAGTCAACCAGCCAGAAGACGCATCAAAATTTCCTTTCAGGCCTAACAACTCAAAAAAAGGTTCTTGCCTTCGCCGCAATGATAGGACCATTTACAGGAGTACCCTCTTTTCGAACTTGAGCTAACCACTCTGTCAATGCCATGTCTAGCTCATCAAAGGTAGAACCCTTCATAGTTTATCGCGTTTTCATTGCGAAAGCACTGTCCGACATCGATGCAAAGTTCACCAGTTTGTCTTTTTGCTTTAGAATGTCACACACTGTTGTTTCCGCGATTCTGTAATCCAATTTCTTTTGCTGCCTTGTAGTGCCGTTTGCTACTTTGGAAATTTATTCTAGTTTTTGCGCAATCGTCAACACAACCTTCTTTTGTTTTCCTGACGTTTTAAATCGGTAACGAAAAACTCAAAACCAAAACGCACAAGCACTGAACACAATAAAAGATAAGAAATAAACTCCGGTTCGCAAACACTATCAGGCTTAAACTAACAATGGCGAGTGGGAGGAAGTGGACGTGTCAGTAAGATTAAGACGAGAGACGTCGGTGGAGCGGGCACTGAAAGGGTGAGTAAAAAATCACTTACTCAACAGAGGGGAAAGGTTCCGAGAAGGCCTCGGATATTTTTGCCATAAATAAACACGATGTTAGCAAATTTAACGTTTCTCTCGGTTTTGTGAACATTTTTATTTTCTTTGCTTTATGCTTGTAAAAAAAAAAAAAAAAAAAAAAAAAAAACTTTGTTTGACAGGCGCGGATAATCGGGAGTCTACTGTATAGCGAAATTTCGGCGAGATATCTCGATTGATTAGCAGTTCAATCCTGGGGGCCACTATAATAAGAAATTACATACAGTCAAAAGTCTTTAATCCGGACTCGTCGGGACTTCGGCAATTCCGGATTATAGATCATCAGTTTAAATCTGGTAAGATGGCATGCAGAAATTACAAAATTAAAAATATGAAACCGTAATTTATAAAATAATGAGCAATTATGATCTATAGGGTATCAAAATTTACAAAAAAAAGGAAGCTTAATATTTATTTGTTTACTTTATTAAACATTTCTTTCAATGCACACATGCGTAAAGCATACCTTACACATAGCCGAAATTAGAAAATTGCAACCAGAAAACTATTTGATTTATATTCGTGATATTTATAATGACGAGGAATTTGATTTAAATCATATCAAAGACTGAGTACATTGAGATTAAATACTAAATTTAGTAAGGAATTATAAGGCGAATAAAATAAAAACATCTGCCCTGAAGATAAGGATAGTGCTGACAGATCCACTTCCAGTTCATTGCGCGCCGCAACGTCCCCCCCCCCCGGCACAGAGCAGGGTGAAATTGATAAACAGATTTCGGAATGGTTAGATAAACAAAGGATATGCCTTTATCCATTTTTTGTAGCAATTCGTTTTTTTGTTTGATGGACATCGAAACATACTTTCGTTTCTAGATCCTTTTGGGAGCTCCAGCATCGGAAATTCTATTTGACATAATCGAAAGTTCAAGCTTACTTTTATAAAATTGCTCTTACAGTCTGCAAAAAATAATAAGCCGGATCCAATTCGAAGATTAAGGAACAACGCAATCATCAACATTAACTGAAGTAGATAATTTTAGCTTATACCATCTGTTATACATTAAATGCGCACGCGAAAACGTATTCTGCGCTTGCGCAGTCATAAATGTCTTGCGCGCACGCATAAAACGCCTATGCGCATGCGTAGAAAGATTTTAGCTTTGAGGTCCGGATTATGGGTGTCCGAATTAACGACTTTTGACTGTATTTCTTTATGCTCAGCATCTGCAAACATGAAAAGTCTTTTAATTTTTCTACATTTGCTGTAACAAATTTTATATGTCTGTATTTTAATTGTAATCATTTCTAAATGGGTTATGAGAAAAGGCAATTAGTCAGCTCCATCCCGAACATTGTTGTAAGCAATTTCAACGCAATACCCAGTTCCTAAAAGTTCTCTATTCTTTTGCTTTCTTATTGCTACAAGTAGTACTTTTTAAAGAGTTTTTAGTAAAGTGTTAGATTAAAATATCTACTAATGAAATCATCAAATTCTTTCAGTTGTTTTGAAATGAGGATATCTTTTATTAATTAATAAAGACACTGTTATGTATATACATATTTTTCTTATATAATGGAAAAATGGAGATTCATATAGATCCCAGATTTTGAGCATACATAATCCTCCACCCAAACATGTACACCTTGAAATCTGCAGTTTGAATTGCAATTTTTTTATGAATATGATGACGTTTTGATTAAAAAACTGGACAGCTTAAGAATAATGTGTGGTCACTTAAGAGATTATAAGATATAGTTCAAATTTTCCTTTTAAATTTAATCTATCTATTATTTAATAAAAGCTAACTGATTTAAAAACAGTGCAGTTAATCCTCTCTGTTATTATTAATTAGTACAGTAGAAAACAAGAAATCCATAATGATTGGGACTAGAGGTTGTGTGGATTTTGTGAATAGTAAAGGACAGAAAGGATGAATAGTAATATTTAGACTAAAAAGTGCAAACTAAATGAGGACATAAAGACATATGAAAATAAGGATCATTAATAAAGCATAAAATATTTCATTTTTTTTTTTTTTTTTTTCACTTCAAACATTTTTCTGATAGAGGTTTATTTTAAAACTTTTGGGTGCTCCAGAATAAGTTTTTTTTTTTTTTTTTTTTTTTTTTTTTTTAAGGTTATATAGAGTCATAATCTCGTGCTCTGTCATCACTCTGTTGTTTAAAAATCTTTAGGTATTTCCAAAACTTCACTAAAATATATATTCTCTCTTCTGTTAAATTCACTATCTGTGTTGAAATCAGAATCATTTTCTTGCTGTGTCGAGCTCAAAACATTAAAATTATTATATAGTTTTTCTTTTATATAATAACTACTTTAGGCAGCTGACATCACAAGCAGCTAGTAAAAGAAATAGTTCACATAGGCGTAAATTTAATTTCTTATATATTGAAGGCAACTTGAAGTAAAGTGACAAAATTGGCAGTTTAGTTTATTTTGTATTTTACATGTTGTACAATCTACAGTCTTTTCAGAAATAAGAATGTTTTACTAATTTAATGAAATATATTGCATATGTGGACAAGATCTTCAAAATACCTCCTCAAATTGCCCATATTAAATGCATATATATAATAACTGTAGGATTAAGACAAGAACAATTTTGATTGAATGTACTTCACAGGTTAATTCTTTTTTACCAATATTAACCCTCTCAATTTGTGAACCGAAATCGCTTAAAAAATTGCGGGGTATTCCCCCCCTCGCATAGTTTAAATTTATATATATATATAGCAGAATTGAAAAATGCACTTTTTCTTCTAGAAATATTTTTATATAGATTTTTATCTTGAGAAACTAAGTTGCCAGAAAAACCAGTTTTCAGATTTATAACAAAAAAAAAAAAAAAAAAAAAAAAAGGAAAAAAAAAAATCTTTTTAAAATAAATTGCAGTTGAATTACAGTTAATTTATATTTATTGCATAATATAAAAAAGTAAAATGTATAAAATTTAAGAAAATATAAAGCGCTAAGAGAAAAATACCTGAAAAATGCAGTTTAGTATGATAGAGTTCAAACTTCACAGTCTTTGCACCAGATTCAATAAATCTAATTAATAATCAATATAATATTAATCTAATCAATAATTCAATAATTTAATTAAATAATCAAGATAATCGTTGAATGTTTTCTAGCAGCCGTTTCTGTAAGATAAAAGCAGCAAAAAGTGAAGTTTGAGCGCTAATACCACGTGCCTTCAAATGCCACAATTTAGTGGACAACTAACGATATCTGTTGGCCAAAACATAAACTAAACACCTAATACTATATAAAATTTATTTCAATGGTTAAACAAGGAAAAAATGGGATGCACTCCTCAATAAAGGAAGAAAAACATATGCCCGCGGAAATCGTGGAATGAGCAAATTTTTCTACATTTGAGTTGCCCGTGGAATGATCAGCCAGAGGGTTAATGAAAAAGAAAAAATAAATAAATAAATAAACGCTTAATGAAAAAGAAATTTCATAAAATTTAATGTGTAAAGATATGTGTCTGAAAGAATATAAACAATTACATTCAGTATGCTAATTAAAAATGTATATTTTCGTCCTTTTTTCTTTAAGGTATTTATCGAGGATGATGATGATGAACAAGATGAACACACTAAAATTGAAGAACTGCACAAACGCAGGAACTTTTTAGCGTCATTTTGCAAACTGGTTGTTTATAATATAATAAGTGTCAAACAAGCTGCTGACATTTTCAAGCATTATGTAAAGTTTTACAATGATTACGGTGATATCATCAAAGCTACACTTGGTAAAGCTCGAGAAATCAACAAAGTAAATTGTGCCCGAACCATGGCAATGTCTTTGACTTCCCTGTTCTCTGAATTGAGAAATTCCACAACATCAGGTCAAATAAATCGGCAGGACGAAAATTTCCTTGCAATAAAAGAATTAGCCAAAAGATTTGCATTATCTTTTGGCTTAGATCAGGTAATTTAGTTTATTATGTATGTTATTTATTTTCTAGTGGTAGACATAATGATTTTAATTTTTCCTATTTTGATACATCTGTTAAGTTTTTGTGAAAATTGTTTTACTTTTGTGTCCTTAGGTGTGTAATTAATTTTATACAAATTTTACAGGTTTTTTTTTGGGGGGGGGAATGCTAAAAATTGACATAATTTAGGTCATTTGTTGCTGAATTTTAAACACATGCCTCTTGCAGATACTTCCACTAATGAAATTATCTTTATTATGACATCAAAAAAAAGCTTTCCTCTTTTTTTTTTTTTTCCTTTAAAGAATTCATCTATCATATATTGCCAAGTTTGATGACTTTTCAACATTTTGGTGATTTTTAAGGTCATTTTATGTATGGAAAGTTTTATTTAGTGATACATGAATTTTGTTGCATTTTTTTAATTCATAAAATTATAATTTTATTATGATATTGCAATAATTGTAATGTATTGCGTATTTTAGAAAAATAATGCGAAAGTAAAAATTTTTAATTTCATCTCTTAAAACATCTTTACTTATTTGTACTTAAAGGCCACTGGTAAACTCTTTACACCTTTGAAGTAATGAGAATTTTTCTTTTTTCCAGTTACTAATTTATTTTAGGCTAAGAGGGCAATTTGCTTAGAAGGGCTATTAATTTTGTTTTGACATTTTGCATTGATTCACTATAAACTGTAAATCACTTTTTAAATTGTTGCCACTAAATATTAGAGCCCGTATCATATTTAAAGAAATTAAATAATGAAGAATCTACATAAATGTATGTATGTTTCTCGCATTGTGATAAAACAGCGGTACCTAAAGTCATCAAATTTTGAATAATGTACATCTCCACCCAAATATGGTCCTCTGGAAGCCCAAATTTGGAATTTGTTTTATTATCTATTTCATTTTTTGTAAAGCATTTATGAGTTTTTGATTAAGAAACTCAATGATTTCAAAGCGAGCAATTGCAACACTGTACCGGGGGTGGGGGGTATCTCCAATGCGCAAAATTGTGTATCGGAAATTCTAAAGATACGCTTTTTTAAAATTATTTTGTGATATTGCTATTGAATTGAATTTTAAGTGCGAAGAACATGATATTTGATGAAAAAAGGTAGCACACAAAAAATGTTTAAAAAATGCCTCCTTAGATGTAATATAAAATCTAAAAGCCTTTGTTTTTTTTTTTAAGCCACACAGAAATAATGCAAGATAGAGGTCACATAATCTTTCAGTATTTTATGCCTATTTAAACTTCAGGTTTTAATTAAATACGTATGTTCAGGCAATGCATGATAATATAGACCTATTTCATTGGCATTATAGATCTTTTTAACAGCACTTTGTAGATAATTTAGGTCATTAACTTAGCCATGCTCGTGCAACTGGTGGGTCAGCATCTTTTTTCTTCATGAATGTGATTATGGTGTGCTGTAAAAATACTTCTCTTGTCTTCGATCAACTAAACCATCTGTTGACTGTCCCATCTTTCTCACAAACATTTATAAACCAAATGTCAACTCTGTGGTCTTTCTTGTTATGTATCAGTTTTATGTTTTCATTTTGGTTTTGCTGTGATTTGTAAATACAGTCAAAAATCGTTAATCCGGACTCGTCGGGACTTTGGCGATTCCGGATTATAGATCATCAGTTTAAATCTCGTAAGATGGCATGCAGAAATTCTAAAATTAAAAATATGAAACCGTAAGTTAGGAAATAAAGAACAATTATGATCTAAAGGGTATCAAAATTTGCAAAAAAAAAAAAAAAAAAAAAAAAAAAAAAAAAAAAAAAAAAACTTAATATTTATTAGCTTACTTTGTTAAACATTTCTTTCAATGTAAGTTGTTTAAGTTGCTTCGTTTATGTGATAATACTTTCTCTTTAATTCTATAAACAGACATAATTTCTTGTTCAGTTACAAAGTTCCGCTGTTCAAGTCCCGTTAATTGCTGTGCCGAGAATACCGACTAACTTGTCAATCGAAATTTTTTCATTTTCACTAACCTCTCTGTCACATTCTTCATGTCTTTATCCATTTTTTGCAGCAATTCCACTTTTTGTTTGATGGACATCGAAACATACTTTCGTTTTGTAGATCCTTTGGGAGCTCCAGCATCGAAAATTCTATTTCACATAATCGAAAGTTCAAGTTTACTTTTATAAAATTGCTCTTATAACCAGATAATTTTAGCTTATACCGTCCGTTATACATTAAACGCGCATGTGAAAACGTATTCTGCGTTTGCGCACACGCATATGCGCAGTCGTAAAGGTCTTACGCGCACGCGTAAACGCCTATGCGCATATGTCAGCGCGGCGCATGCGCAGAAATTTTTAGCTTTGAGGACTGGATTATAGATCATTCCGAATTATGGGTGTCCGAATTAACGACTTTTGACTGTATTTTCATGATTCTTCAAAATCTTGCATAAGAGAGGTTTGAAATTATTTAACTTAAAAGCAGCATTTTGTTGACTCATTTTTGGGAGTTGATCATTACAATTTAACAAGTCAACTTTATCCCTTTGACCCAGATCATTATATTTTTTGCCAGACTCCATGATAAAAATGACTAAACAGATTAAAACAATGAGCATTTTCTAAACAGACTATTCATTAAAAGTGTAAAGCTCAAAACAAGGGGAAGGTGTTTTGGCATGAAAGAGCAAGGACATTTGAAATTCCACTTTGTTAAACAGTTCAGTTGATCAGTCTTCTTTAAACATCAAATCAAGTTACTTGACAACATGTCTTAAATCAAAATCCAGTTGCTTGGCAACATGTCTTTGTTATTTGGCTATTTCTATACTCTATTTCAATCTTAATTGGCAATTTATCTTTCATTTGTTGACTTTATTTCAGTTTAAAATATTCATTCTAAAATATTTTGATAACATTAACTGCCTTCTTAATCACAACAAGTGATGAGTTTTCCATGTTTGTATATATAAATGGACTGAACTTCGTCAATTCGATAACAATATACGAACAATAAAATTCATTAAGTAGTTAAGCATTTTTCTTGTTAAAAATCACTTAATGCTTTTTACAAAAATTCTTGATTTTTCTCACACCAAATTTGCAAGTAGGCACATATAGAGTAGAACTCTAGTTATTGAAATCACTTAATCTGGTTTTTAGATAAAATAAAATTAACCTTAATATTAGTTTTTTTTATTTTTTAAAATTTTGTTCATACATTCAATTTATATAAAAGTAAGGACAGTATAAATATTTTAAAGTAGGTATAAAATTATACTTAAAGAGAACATTAAGGAAGCTGCCATATTCTAAAAATAGGTTTAGGGAACATAGTAACATTAAGTCAATGTTCCACAGAAATGGGTTATATGCTTAAGCAAATGATTAAATATATATATTTATTTAATTTTGTTAAAGTGTGTGAGTGTGTTTTAAATCTTTATTTATAGTCTTTAACAAAATAGAGTACTAAAAAAATTGTCACTATTATCTCAGTAATAATTTGGCTATGAGGAAAAAAAAAATAACATGATGATTCTTTCTAAATCACATGAGTTCTCAGTTAGTCCCACTATTTGGAATTTTAGTGTATTTAGATACGTATGTTGTCGACCAAGTATGAAATCTTGCATTCTGTAAAATGCCGAAATTTGGCTGGCAATGAATGAAATGATTAAGCATTTCTTACATTGCCTGTGCATTCTATAGAATGCCAAATTACAAACTGGCAAAGTGTGAAACACATCTCCATATTATATACAGTGCCTAGGAAAAGTATGTAATAATCCGTGCAATATATTGGCAGTTGTAATGAATGTGATAGAGGTTAGTGTCTTAGAACTTCTGGAATAGTTTTAAAACAACTATATGCAAGATCACAGTTCATTTTATGTTCTAAGAAGTTGCTTAGAATTGAAGATATTCCTGACTGTGAGAGTCTTCTCTGGTCAGTATAATGGAAGTGGCCAAGGATTCGCCAAGTATATATGTAAAACAAAGTGCCAAAACATGAAATGTCTGTATGTGGAAAAGTAACGAAGTGAGTTCAAAATGTCATTCAAGCCTACCATGTTGTAACAAATAGGTTAATTTCAATTTCTTATTTTTTGTATGATTTTTTTTGTTTTAAATAAGAAAGGTTTAAATTTTCTTTCATACAACTTTCATTTTTCTTTATGTATTTTGAATAAAAACTTTTTAATGGTTATTATTTTTTTAAAATAACATTTGTATTTTTGAGGAATGCATGTCTTTTGAATAGCCTTACCATGACTCTTTTTCATACATTGTCGAAATAGCATTTCTCATTTATAGAATGATTATATAAACAATTGCCTAGGTCAAGTACAAAGTTGTTCTCATATTTCTTACTTTACTGAAAAAGAACAGGCAGTCTATAAAATTATTTATTCTACAATATCTAGAATGCCGGCATTTCATACTTTGCTAGTAACAAGTGATTCAGAGTTTAAAAATGCTTCGTGAAAGAACAGAAAATTTCTTCCAGTAAGTAGGCAATAAGACAGCCATCATTAATGAACATTGCCATGAAAATGAATTGATATACAGTCAAAAGTTGTTAATCCGGACACGCATAATCCGGAATGATCTGCAATCCAGACCTCAAAGCTACAAACTTTCTGTGCATGCATCAACGCATAATGCGTTCACGCATGCGCATATGCGTGTGCGCATAATACGGCGTGCAATGAACTGGAAGTTGATCTGTCAGCACTATACTTATCTTCAGGGCAGATGTTTTTATTTTATTCAGCTTATAATTCCTTACTAAATGTAGTATTTCATCTCGATGTATTCCGTCTTTGATATGATTTAAATCAAATTCCTCGTCGTTATAAATATCACGAGTACACATCAAATAGTTTTCTGGTTGCAATTTTCTAATTTCGACTATGTGTAATGTATGCTTTACGCATGCGCGCATTGAAAGAAATGTTTAATAAAGTAAACAAATAAATATTTTTTTTTTTTTTGTAAATTTTGATACCCTTTAGATCATAATTGTCCTTTATTTCATAAATTACGGTTTCATATTTTTAATTTTATAATTTCTGCATGCCATCTTACCAGATTTAAACTGATGATCTATAATCCGGAATCGCCAAAGTCCCGACGAGTCCAGATTAAAGACTTTTGACTGTATATAGTATTGTAGTTTAAGGTGCCTCAGATATGTGTTGGGCAGTATATTACGGACCATTCAGCACTTCTAGCATTAAGTCTTAATTTTTTTTTTTTTTTTTTTTTTTTTTTTTTTTTTTAAAGAGGCAAAGGCACTTAATGGCAAAGGGAAGCATTGGTCATGGGTATACAAGTAAGTAAATTTAGTACAGTTAAGGACATTAGTACAGTTAATTTTTATCTACATAAGTTTTTAAAATTACCCATTGTTTTTAAGCTGTTAAAGAAGTTTGTTGAATTGTAATGAAAAGTTTTGTGTTTAATTAATGAAATTATTTATTTGCTTAATCTATCGTAAAAATATTTTGTTTTGTGTTTATGGAGAAAAATATTTTTGAAATAAAATATAGTATTAAAAAATAGCAATAAATCTTTATTTGCATCATAATATTTTTAACATGCAAAGAAAAGCTAACACAAGTATCCAGATTTTTCAGATATACATGAAGTCTGTGGTGATATTTATTGATATCTAGAGTTTTAAGCTTACTCATAAACTATCAAAAACAACCAGTTGTATAAAATAAACTTTACTGGATACACTATAAACAATGTGAATTTTTTCTTATGTGCATGAAAGTCAATTTCTCTCAATTACTTACTGTTAACCTATCTTTCTTTACCATTACTAATTACTTACAGTTTACAGCAAAAACGGCTAAAAGCAATTTGCTTGCATATGGTAAACTTATAAAATTTCTACATGAAATTTTCTTGATGTGTAGAGCTAATGTACCTTTTATTATTACTAATATGGTTTTGCTTAATAATCTGAGTATCACAAAATGCCGCTCTGGTTGGACTCGGTATCATATTTAATACGAGTTCAGTACTTGATTTTTTTTCAACCTGATTGTTTGATAATTTGTATCATTAGTTGGTGCTGGAAAAAATAAGTAAATAGATGCATTATTATTTTTTTTCTTATTAAAGGTTAAAAATCGGGATGCTGTAGCTGCTCTACATAGAGAAGGCATTTTGTTTACAGTAACACCAATAGAAAACCCAGCTGATCCATTAGGTCCTCCACCAAACTTGGCCTTTTTAGAAATATTAGCTGAATTCACAAACAAATTGATGAAATTGGATAAAAAAGTTGTCTTGAACTATCTAGACAGGCATATACAAGCTAGCATGCCTGGCACTCGATCTGAAGATTGGCAGCCATTAATTTTGTACAGAAACAGTTTAGTACATGGTGAAGCAGAACAGCCACCACCAAGGGCACCAGGTCGGCAATATCGAGGTAGGAAACGGCAGAGAGAAGATGATGATTTAAGGAATATGGAGGATGAAGGTAATATAGATCAAGATTCAGATCGAGAAGAGAATTGATTTTCTGTTTATTTCATTGAATATTCATATTTAACAAATACATTCAAATATTTTGTAACTATTTTCATAACTGTATTCATTGCTTTTGTATTACAATAAACTTCAAAACTGTATATGGTTTTTATTTATATAAAGGACTTTAATTTCATTTTTGCCAAGCATCTTGCCAACGAAGAGGGAAATATATCGTAAATATAAATTATAATATCGATGTGATACCAAGAAATCAATCCTTTAAAAATTTTCTACATCATTTTCAAAAAAAGTTTGTCATTTATTTATTTATTTATTTTTCCTATGAATGCAAAATTATTTTAGCAATCACCGATTTCTTCACTGTCACCACTTTTATCAGTACATAATTTCCATCATAAGTATCTAACAAATTTTCAACAAAGTAATTGCAATTCACATTTCTTTATTGATTTAATGCCTGCTATTATTATTATTATTATTATTATTTTTGTAAAAATAACTAGACTACTACTAGAACTGTTAGACTACATAAACTAAACAGTTCATGAACAGTCCTGGAAAGGCAAGGTGGTTTCTATAAAAAAAGGGGTACTATTCTGTTACAGTGGCGTCAGTTAAAAATGCATCGCATTTTTTATCTCGCCAGTTGTTGCCTATATAAAATTATGAAATAATAGAATTAAAAAAACTTTAAAAAATCAGTTCCATAAAAAGTAAATTTTTAAAAAATTTCTTAATTCTCAAAGAAAGTAATTTTTTTTTAAATTTTTAATCTACAATATTCTCCTGTTGAGAGGTTGGTGGTAGAGAAAGGGGTGGGACACCCTCGGACCTGTTCCCCTGGGGTGCTCTCTATCAAAAACTGGGGGTGGAACTGAGGTAAATAGCACTGCTACCTGTAAGGTTCTCAAGGCTGTTGCCAACTTGCACTCCTTGCCACAAGGAATTTCATTCACTTGGGCTGAGTATAGGTCAGTCAAGTGAGCACTAGCAACAACAACATTCTACGCATAAATAGAAAATAACGAAACAAAGCAAAATTCAGTCTAAGCAGGTGGCATAAAATATCATTTAATATTGTAGAAAAAATTTCAGTTTTTGAATATAACCAACGGCACATAAATTCTATCAAATCGGTGGCACGCAGTGCCTCGCTGATGATTATGTCTTGATTTAGAACTACCCCACAATCACTCCACAATTTGGATAGTTTCGGGGTCTACAAAATTATAACTGTGATTCACAGTGAAATGTTCATACCCAGCATTTCTTAATTCCTCTTTCTTATATCCTTTCCATCAGTTTGCAAATATAACGCTGACATCCGCGATGTTTTCCAACGTTGTATAACAATAATCGGGAATGGAGACCAGAAAATAATTTTTGCTTTTCCGGCATAAACCCTTGAATACCCATTATTCCAGAAGAATACAACCAATGTTGTTTTTTTATTTTTTTGAAATTATTTTAAAATAGTTAATCCAATTTATTGTCATACTATGGCTGATTTCTAACTAAATTTTTATTCTATTAGCTGATAAGTTGATAGCTTACTTATAATTTTTTAAAAAATATTAACAATACAACAATTTCTAATACATGAAAATATGAATGTGGGGAAAACATATGATAAAAGTTGGAGGGAGAAAAAATTAGAGCAGTGGAATTAAGAGTTTAACGAGATAATTTTTAAACTTTGAAGCAAGAACAGTAAAGCATTGCAAAAAACAACAGCATTATTAAAAAATAAACCATGCACATAACAAATCTTCATTTTTAACAAGCAGTGTTGTTATTTTCATGCTTGTTTTTGCTGTTGTATTCCAAATCTCAATAATTTTGTCAGAAAGTGAGATGCCTGTTGCTTCATTCAAATTAAATTTGAATGAAGCAACAGTCCGCACTATTAAGAAAAATGAAAAATAAATAAGAAATGCAGTCCCCCCCACACCAATAACTGAGAAGATGAAAATACCACTCAGCATTTGGATTGATGATAGCTGTCTAAAAAAAATTAATATATAAGAAATATCAGTAAACAAAAAGCACTCAAAATTTTCAAGCACCTTAAAGAATATGGAGAATCCTCTGTCAACCCAGATTTTCTGGCAAGTAAAGGTTGGTTCAAAAATTTCAAAAAGAGTCTTGCAACTCATATCATAAGAATTCAAGGAGAATCTGCATCGCCTGATTATCAAGCTGCTAGGACTTTGATTATGAAGCTAAAGCTTGGCTTTTAAATTGTTTTGTGCCAGATCCTGAATGTCAATATTTAAGGCAGAAAAATTTGAGCTTCAAGACTGTATTACTATTAGATAATGCTCCATGTCAGCCACAAGATTTGAATCATCCCAACGTCAAAATACTGTTCCTACCACCCAACACTACTTCTTTACTCCAACTATTGGATCAAGGTATTATTTATACCTCTAAAATATATTACATAAGAAGAGCATTACAGTGCATTTTAGACTTAACTGATTTAAAACCAGTTAAGGTAATGGAAGCTTGAAAGACATTTTCAATCGAGCACTGTATCAACATCGTATCTTTGTCTCTGAAAAATCTGAAAGCATCAACATTAAATGCATGTTAGCAGAAGATATGTCCCTCTTCAGATGAAATAGAAAACATGCGTGAATCGTCAGAAAATGAAATTGTTGGCTTATTAAAAACTTGCTAAATCAATCCGAGGCGAAGGTTTTGTCAACATGGCTATTGAGGACTTTCAATAGTTATTAGCAGAAGGAAGAAATTGACGAAGCAGATTTGATGGAAATGGCATCTGATTCCATAAATCAAATCGATTCTGAGGAGACTAGCACTGATGAAGATTGTAAAGTTAATAATTTAACATTAAAAAAATTAAAAGAAGGCCTAAGCGTAGCTGAAAATCTTGAATCATTTTTCTTGAGTACAGACCCTTCTGCTGAAATAAGCTGACAATTCAAGAGGGAGCTGCAAAACTGTCTATCTCCATATCGAGAAATTTACATTGACTCGGTAAAGAACTAGTAGGCAAATAAAATTACAAATTTTTAAAAGAGGGAAGAAAATACCAGAACTTTAAATGAAGAAAAAAATTCTGAAAGTGAAAGCGATCTCATTCCACTGGAAAAACGTTCTCAGTTGATTATAGCAGTACTAAAGTTTTATTAAAATATGTAATATTTTTTGTATTGTATTGTACATATATGTATATGATTAATAAAAATTAAGTTTTTTATGTAGAATTTAGAAAAATTGTTTTTAATACGTTTTCGGAACATAACCCCCCCCCTTTTTATAGTAGCTCTGGGTTTCACACAACACGGCATTTTCCAGAAACCTATCTACTGTGTTATACGAGGGTTACTTGTATTTTAAAAATATATTTCAAATATATATTATTATATATATTACTATATACTTTTATATAAATATATTTCAAATATGTAGTTTTAAAATATAAATTCATCTTTAAACAAAAATCAAATAAAAAAATTCTGCTTTTTTAAACAGCAGTTTCAACATCCATTTATAAAAGCATTTTGTGAATTTTGAAAGAATTCCTTCCTTTCCCTTTTTGTGTGTACATGAATCAATTGTAAAGATTTCAAGCATTTTTCAGAGCTCATGTTAAAAGTAATTTGAGATGTTAGTTGATTAAGTGCAGCTTTTTATCACAAGAAAATTATGAAAATAATTGAAACTGAAATACTTAAAATAAAATTTTAAGCCTTTTATTTTCAGCAAATAATTAGCTGTCATATTTAAGAAGTCGTAGAAAAATTAGTATGGTAAGATTTCATTGTTTAATTTATTTAATAAATGGAAGCAATTTTTAAATAAGTAGCTTAAATATTTAGACAGAACAGTATATTAGCACATCGCAGTCAACAATTTTTAGCTTACAGTTAAGTGCTTTCTAAGAAAAAAAAAATTAAAACATATAAATGCGAGATATTGCAATAAACATAGCTATACCATAGGAAAAAGTTACGCGATCTGATCTTCCGTATTCCAGTTTAATAACTGACTAAAGTTGCATTCTTGCAATATTAAATACATAAACTGATTTAAAAACAAATAAAAATACTTGTGACATATGATTTTGATAGGGGAGTCCCAAAAGATTCATCTCGCCACTGCTGGTACAATTACACTGGTGGACAATTGCTAAGGATGATCACAAATGGGTATGTAGCGTTAAAAAGTAAGCGTGTTTTTTTGGATGCCAAGTAAAATAAAATAAGCTGACAATTCAGAATATGAGGACATAACAATAAAGATAATTTATTGTGCTCGGAATTCTAAAAGGTTTTGAAAAGTGTTCAAGGGATAAAATGGTCATATTGTGCTGAATAACCTAAAAGTGGAGGAATAAAATGCAATTACCATCTGCAGGCATTCTCTCGTAAGATGTCAGTTCGGGATATGGTCGCCATGGAGGGTGATGTAAGATTCCACACATCGTGTCATACTTTGCTCAGTATTATCCAATAACTGTTGCAGTAATTCGTCCATTTCTCTGTCAGTGCACGAAAAGGGTGTCCTTGTTCATTGGAGGCCATTGTTGACCAGCAAGACTCCTTCCCAAAGCATCCTAAACATTTTCAATGGGATTCTTATCTGGCAAACATGCTGGCCATAGGAGACATTGAATATCCTCATTCTGTAGACAATGTTGGACAGCAGCTGTTCGATGACATATTGCACTGTCGTCCATGAAAACAAATTTATCACCGACACCATCACAGAACATCATTAATGTATCATTGGCCAATCATAGTCTCAATTGCAACAACATGTAGCAGTGGGCAACCGATCATAGTGTCGTCCCATACCATGATACTGCATCTTGAATATTGGTCCTTTCCTGGATATTTTCTGAATAATAAGCAGTATTGCTCTCACACCAGATCAGTTGGCGTCTATAATCCAGTAACAGACTAAACTTACTCTTATCTAAGAACAGTACACAAGACCAATTCCATTGAGTCCAATTACGATGCTCATGATGCCATTGCAAACGGACAATGCATTGCTGTCTGGACAGTGGTATGCACACAACAGGATGGCTGGCATGCAATCCTCCTTGATGCAAACATCTGGCTTCAGTTTTTCAGGAAATCCGGTTGCCAGTAATAGCAAGTAA